CCTAAGGAAGTTAAGGAAAAATTTGAAGGGTTAAGGCTAAAAGGCAAAGGGAAAAGTGCTCAAGAGACAGTTATTAATGTCCAGGGAGAATTATGTCATGATAAATCAAGAATAGCAAATGAGTTCAATAATTATTTTACAACTGTGGCTGACAAGTTAGCGTGTAAATTACCAGTATACACGAACATTTTTCCATGCCGACAGTGAAAGATTTCAAAAGTTTTATGTCGAGAAAGACACCTCAAAAGATAGTTTTCACTTTTCTCCAGTTTCAGAAAAGTTTGTTTTAGATGAGTTAAACAAGTTGAAAGTATCGAAAAGTACTGGACTAGATATGATACCAGTCAGATTTTTAAAAGATGGGGCGAGAAATTTGTATGAACCTTTGAATTATATAATCAATTTATCTCTTATGTCTTCTACCTTTCCTGACGACATGAAAATTGCAAAAGTAACACCGCTACATAAAAAGAAAGACAAAACTGACGTTGGTAATTATAGGCCTATCAGTGTTTTAAGCGTAGTTTCAAAAATTTTGGAAAAATCGTTTCATGCTCAAATAGAGAAATATTTTCAAGAAAAAAAGTTAATATATGAATTTCAGTCCGGCTTTCGTAACGGATATTCCACTGAAACATGTTTAATACATTTATCGGATTTTGTTAGGAATGAAGTTTCTCAAAGGCGCTTTGTTGGAATGGTTCTTCTGGACTTACAAAAAGCCTTTGATACTGTAAATTATAACATACTGTTAAAGAAATTGGAAGTGATGGGTTTGGATTCGGCATGTGTTAAATGGTTTAGATCATATTTAACTAATCGTCATCAAGTGGTAACTATGCAGAAGGTAATATCTGATTCCCTGCCTATTAAATGCGGGGTTCCACAAGGGAGCATTTTAGGCCCCATTCTCTTTAAGTGTTATATTAATGATATGTGTACTTGTGTTAATGATTCTAAATTACTTTTATATGCTGACGATAGTGTGTTACTATATTCAGATACAAATCCTAAGTCAATTGAAGAAAAACTAAGTGCAGAATTGGCAAAATGCATCGAATGGATGACAGACAACAAGCTTAGTTTACATGTTGGAAAAACAGAAAGTATTTTATTTTGTTCGAAGGGAAAGTTTAAATATACACGTGACTTCAAGGTTACCTATAATAATCAAGTGATTGAGAGAAAAGATTCAGTAAAATATTTAGGAATAAATTTAACTAGTGATCTGTCATGGACAGGTTTGGTAGATTCAATTGCCAAAAAGGCTAATTCTCGCTTAAATTTTTTGTATAGATACCAAACTTGTATGAACATGAAGTCGAGACGTATTTTGTGTTTTGCTTTGATACAATGTTTATTTGATTATGCTAATGCTGCTTGGTACAGTAGTCTGGGCAAGATGGATAAGAAAAAGTTAAGAATAATTCAGAATAAGATGGTAAGATTTATTAATTGCTAAGGCCCAAGAACACACGTCGGGAAAAATGAACTTGAAGAAGCAGGTATACTCCATGTAGGTCAAAGGTCTAAACAACTCGTGTTACACCATGTCCATAAAATATACTACTCAGATGTAGATCATTATATTACTAATAATTTTACTCGTGTCTCAAATATCCATGGATACGATACAAGAAATAGTCATTTTAATTTTGTTTTACCCAAGCGAAAAGGACAAATTGGAAACTCTTTTTATTTAAATGGTATCCAATTTTGGAATTCTCTCCCAAAACATGTCAAAATAGTTAAGAATTTTTCACACTTTAAAAGTGTATTAAAACAATACCTAAAGCATGAATCCCTTCAAGAACAGTAATATCAGTTATCTTAAATCACAGTTCATTATGTGTAGCGCATGTTTTTAAGTTTAATCTTGCATAATATACCGTAGATCATTGTTTGCTATAAGTTCTAGAAAGTTTTGTTGTTGTTTATGTTATATTATTTATTCGTAATATTCGTAGTAGTTATTAGTTGTGATATTTTATTCTCATGCCGTACTGTACACGTACTTTATAGGACCCCGTTGGAAATAAGCCTTTTCCGGCTTTCATGGGTTATCCTGTCAATGTATCTTCTCGTTCCATTTGCTTTATGTATGCATTCAATGTACTATACTTGACGAATAAAATCAATCAATCAATCAATACACTGTACATACAGATATGGTCTAACTCGGACCCGGGGACAACGCGGCCCCGCTGCAAAAACTGTCAGTTTTTTGTCATTTTACCCTGACCCTAACTCTAACCCTAACCCAAACCCTATACCTAACCCTAAACCTGCAAAAACCGCCCAAGTTGTCCCAGGTCCGAGTTAGCCCGTCCCCATACATATGTGTACATAGTTTTGTGCTTTGGCTCAAAAACTTTAATATTCCTAGGTCCATATCAAATTAGCATTAGCATTTTTACTTCGATAAGAAATTCAGATTGCATCTGAGCATTTTACTTTTAAAGCAAGCCAACTGCAAGGTAAAATAATTACTGACAAGCATTGTGATGTCACATGGTCACTGCAAATTTATGAGCAATAAACCCATCCCATCATATGCACCCTTATATAATTGTGTGCAGCATTTGATGACCTTGTATGAAAACTATATGCTTGCCAATCAGGCCCTCTAGAATAATTGGTCTGCTAGGGAGGCTTATCCATCACACGTAGATCACAACACCTAGGCTCTAGATATGTTTCAAGTTGGAAACATATATACATGTTTAATTTTAAAATCAATACTCCACACAAAGTGGCAGAAGTTACACTCTAGGATATATTAGGTCCATGAATTATTACTTCAGGAAATCTTTTATTTCCTACGTGAAAAGTACACCAATCAGCATCACCCATTTAAAAGAGAAAAACAAATAATGTATTTTAAAAAAGTGATGTATGAGTTTTAACCAAATTGATTAAGCTACTTATCATCATGAACTTACTTCTCTTTGGCTAGCTTCAATCCATCTTCAAAGGTAGCCCAATCATATTGTTCTCCTAAACCTGTTAAAAGAAAAGAAAACATTTATCTCAAAAGTGCAGGCTTTTTTCTTCTATTTTTTCAGATATAAAACGTGATTTTGAAATTGAACAACAATAACGATTACTGTATAAAGGCGAGCGCGGGGGTGAAGCTAAATTCAGCACACTCCCTGCACAAGCCGAAGTACACTAAACTAATCAATAGGGACTTTTAGATTTGCGTGGACTGATACGTGTGACTTCCATTCACGGCAGTGCATTAAAAGGACGTCGACCGTAGCAATCCCCATTGTCTTTGTGCGAATCTAAAAGTCCCTAATGTCAATTGATGACGTCATCATCCTTTATGCGCAGTAACAGTTTAAACTACGGCTGCAGGAATTTCAACACAGGGTGCAACTTCGACCAACAAAATGCTGGAAAAAAGACATCTAAATGCATTATGCAGTCAAGCCTAGGCTTAATTTTCAAGTATAAATGTGTAGTCGTGATTCAGCCCGAGCCCCTATTGTCGTAAAGTGAGCGTCAACATTGAGCTGCGAAATCTGTGTTTCCGGCAAAACCAATGTTGCAAACTTTTGTGAGAAGTTAGAAACCAATTCCATGACAGTCATATCTTGTTTCACAAAACCATGATAAGCGACAAATTCATGCTTTCGATACTATCGGCTAAAAACCTAATCTTTGTCACGATCCATCAGATTTTATCCTAAATCAACAAAAGAGATTAGAAAAATGAGAATTAATTCGAAAGTACAAAAAGGTGTATTCTTTGCAATTTTTATGACAATTATTATTTTCAGTTGGCCCATAATTTGCCCGTAGAATACCTATCCCGGTGCCAGAAATTGACCCATATAATTATTCTGCTCAATTTGTTGTACCAAATTAGAAGGAAAACTGAAATGCTAAATACCTCCCGAAATGCAAATGTTACTCAAGTAGTGAAGCATCAAAATAAAACCACGAAACCACACTTTCAAATTGACAAACCCCTGGAATGACGGGCATGGACGTCATTTGTTCCCTCTTTAACATATCGCGGTGTATGCAGCTGAAAATACAATGGCGTCTAATTTCGTTTACATGTGATGGATTCCTTTATTTTTTTATCGCCGCATTTTTCATCAAAATAATACCATGCGCCCGGTTTAGAGTGAGGCAATTGAATAAACATTTATCCTGACGGTAAGTGAAGCAAAAGAAATAACTGAAGAGAAGATGACAAAACAGGCATTGCAAATGTGTGAGATGTCATGGGACATCGTCTGCTTGTGCAAATCATGTTAAACATGATTGTGAAGTCAATCATCTCAGTAACTTTCGGAGAGCTCTTCAGGTAATATGCCAGGGCTGTATTTAAGCGTTTTGTAATTGATAATAATCATTACTTCGAATGTTTCCAAGCATTGAATTCTGATAACCTGTCTAATCAAAGTTACACCTTTGCAATAATGACAATAAAATTAGTTTTTTTAATCAATGAACCTTCTCTTTAAAGGTCCATGCAATTTCTTTGAAATTAATTAGAAGGAAAACTGAAATGTCGAATACCTCCCAAAATGCAAATGTTACTCAGGCAGTGATAGCATTTTACACCATTCAAAAAGGGATTTGAAACCAATTCTGCTAACTAAATTATTTTGATTGTAAATACACATAATGTAATAGGGGTTAATGAACAATGAAATAAACCACAATTTCAAATTGAAGAAACCCCGGAATGAGAGCATGGACGGCATTTGTTCCCCCTTTAAAGGGATTGGGTTTTTTAAATCAATGAACCTACTCTTTAAAGGTCAATGCAATTTCTTTGAAATTAATTTCTATTTGATTGCCCTGCCATCAGCTTTATCGCGAGAGACTTGATGACAGACTAACATCATGGATTCAGTTCCGGGTACAAGAGGTATACAGACGGCATCTGACTAGGAAGGCATTTGTGGATATTCACACTGAATGTCGGGTGAGAGTAAGCGGATTGCTAGCTGATTGAGAAATTGGAAGTTGGAAATCGGAGTGTGAGATGTGGATGTTGCGGAGAACACTGGAGAAAATGGCAACATTCAAAGTTCTGAAACTGTTTTTATCAACTCTGTCGCTTTTCGTCTGTTTTCCGATATTGATACAAGGTAACAACATTAATAATAATAGGCATTTCCATTGCGCCGTCTATCTAGATAATACTATTCCGAGGCGCATTTTATTATTAACCCGGCTTTAGCCTAGCTGCCGTTTTTACAGCGCTCCAGCATTTCAAGGAATTAATTCCTGCCAGGTACCCATTTACAATACCTGGGTTGAGTGTGGCAAATGTAAATGTAGATCAATGTCTTGCCAAAGGACATTAGCGCCGCGGCGGACTCGAACCGTTATTATTATTAGGTACGTTATTATCATCAATTCAAATGCATTTTGGTGTGTGAGTGTTTGCGTACTGGGGTGATCATGACTGAGTCGATGATTTTATGGAATGTCATCATGGTAATGCGAACATATATATATATATATATATATATATATATATATATATACATATAAATATATATATATATATATATATATATATATATATATATATATATATGATTCCTTTTTTAAGGGGCAGTATTCCTGTCAACAAAGACAATGTTTCCGTTTTAAGCCGATCCTTGTATATACAAGTGACTAAAGAATATAAAAATAAGATTATGATTTGTAGCTCTTATGCATAACGTAACTTGGGAATAGCAACAATATTTTACTGAGGGCGTCATTAGAGAGACATTTGGAGTGAAAAAATTAGTCATTAAGTAGACATTGTCATTAGGAGGACAATTTGGTGTCCGCTTAACGTTTTTTTTACAATTTATTTCTCATAGAAGGCCCAATTTTGTTATATATCTCTCTCTATATATATGTAATTTTACTAAAGGCGTCATTGGAGGGACATTTGGAGTGAAAAAATGAGTAGACATTAGGGTTGCGGTTAAGTTTAGGTTTAGGGTTAGGGTTAGGTTTAGGTTTAGGTTTAGGGTTAGGTTTTAGGGTTAGGGGTAGGGTTAGGGTTACGGTTAGGATTTTTATGATGTCCACTTAATGTACCATGTAGGGTTATATATATTACACCCGGTTGTAGGACAATTACCCCCTGAGCAATCACCCCCAGAAAAATTACCCCCCGGAAAACTACCCCCAAAGGACAATTACCCGCTGGGATATTACCCCCCGGATAATCATCACCGAGGACAACTAACCCCAAGGACAATAACCCCCCTGAAATTTACCCCCCCCCCCCCCGGAGAATTACCCCCCCCCCCCCGAGGACAATTATCCCCCGAGGACAACTACCCCCCGAGGAAAAATTACCCCCCTAGGACAAATACCCCCGAGGACAATTACCCCCTAGGACAATTACCCCCCCCCCCCCCCGATGACAACTACCTACCGATGACAATTACCCCGATGAAAATTACCCCGAGGACAGCTACCCCGTGGACAATCAGGATTCAATAGCAAAAGACGATCTGACACATTGAGAGATGGCTACGAGCCCATAAGATCCCCTGCATGAACCCATATCCGTTCAAATACTATAGCACGTTGTCTTCCTTGTCACGATATCATCAACCGCACTGGCGTTGAATAAATTATAATAATAGGGAAATGTGTTGTAAGGCCAGTGCGGTTGCTGATTTCCACGAAGGATGTAAGTTTTAGGTAATTGTCCAGCGCTTTTCAAAATGCATAGAAATACATTTCTCTGGAGCAGCGTTATTCTAATTTTTGTAAGTCACGGTACCCTCTTAAGAAATGAAGAGTTTTTCCCAAATCCCAAAGTCTTAACAGACTATTAATTGTGCATGATTCTGGCACTCGTCAAGTGCTATGCACACACGTATGGGCACATTTAAGAATAAAAAGGGGAAGATATTTTCAAACTGGTAAAAATTAGTTTGTAATCCATACACTATAAATGATTTAAAGTACTTTATGCGGGCACCTTGCCGCTGAATGTACATAAATCAAAAGTGATATATTCGGTCATGACCTTTATACACGAATATGAGGATATTCGGGCCTCTCGTTGCCCTTATTTGCCTTGCTGTCAAAATATTGCGAGGAAGGAAGACACTTCAGTATCTTCAAAATTTTATTTTCTCATGTAATTACATAATTTAACCGTTTCTGATATTTGCTTTTTTTTTACAAAATCAACGTTTTCCAATTCATTCTCTTGCGGCACCCCGGCTAAAAAACGCTGTGCTGGAGTTACAAAATCAAATGAGATGAATTATCAGAGAGCGAATATTTATTTCCTTTTGACATGGCACCGTACTTATAACTTGAAGGCAATTTCTATTTCAAAATAATTTAACGTACAAGAAAACATATTATACTTCAGCATGACAGCAGAAATAAATAGATAACGTGAAGAAAACCTTAATGAAAAAAAATGAAGGTTAATGAAATTTTCTGTAAATAGCAATTTGGAGATAAGCTTGCATTATACGTCACAGTGTTATAAATTCCTCGGGGTGATTGTCATTGGGGGTAGTTGTCCTCCGGGGTTTTTGTCCTCGGGGGGGGGGGGGGGGTTGTCCTCGGAGGGGGAAGAGGTAGTTGTCCTCGGGGGTAGTTTTCCTTGGAGGGTAATTGTCCTCGAGGGTAGTTTTCCTCGGGGGGGGGGGGGTAATTGTCCTCGGGGGTAGTTGTCCTTGGGGGTTATTGTCCTCTGGGGGTAATTGTCCCCGGGGTTGTTGTCCTCGGAGGGAATTGTTCTTGGGGGTAGTTGTCCTTTTCCGGGGGTATTTGTCCTTGGGGGGTAATTGTCCTCTGGGGTAATTCTCCCCCCCGCCCCCCCCCCCCCCACTCCGTGAACGGAGGGATACCATGCGTGTTACCAAAATGTCCGGTAAAGGGGTACTTTTCACGCACCAAAGTCCGGCTCGTACTTACAGCAAAAAGACTTTACACACCGGACTTAGGGGGTGTTTTCAAAAGGAGGGAACATGCATATGCGTACCCTAAAAAACACTGAGTGGAGGTGCCGGGAATTATCCGAGGGGGGGGGGGTAATTCTCTGGGAGGTAATCGTCCTACGGGAGTAGTTTTCCGGGGGGTAATTTCCCGGGGGGTGAATGCTCATGGGGTAATTGTCCTGATACGATTACACCCGACTTATTCTGGGAATAAGGGTTTTGACACTTTAAAACCTATGCAGTTTATATATTTATTGAACCTTACAAAACCGCCATGTACAATGAAATTGTGAAACAAATTACGAATGAAAAGCATACAACAGAATACGCTTAAAGCGTATCCTAAATTCACTCGTGCAAGTGAAATTGTTCTGCACGTCGGAACAAACAACCTGGTAAACGATGACCCGAGCATGTTAGTGACACAGATTGAATCTCTTGCCGATCAGATCTTAGTGAAATGCCCTACTGTCTTAACGATCGCTCTGAGTTCAATAATCCCCCGAAAAACTTTCCAAAAAGAGCTTGTATGGAAAACGTATGAGGCAAACTGGTTACTGGAACAGCTAGCCGCTAGACGCGGATGGAAATTTATTGAACATGACGCCAAAGATCCTGAAAAGCAACTCGCAAGCGACGGCATCCACCTTAATGCTGAAGGTGTAAGATTAATTGGGTATGTGATCTCAGATCACGTAAATGGAGTTTCTCACCCTAGAAAAATTTACCGGTGCTCCCGCTAAATTTTGACAAATTTCAAATAGCGCCTACGGCCGTACAATGGTAGCTGCGACCATGGAAATCTCAGAATATGTAGTTGTGATATATAATTTCAAACGGGAATAGCTAATCGGTCTATTTTAGTCACGAAACATTGTTGTAGAGCTTAATTAATATCTTGACCTTGAGAGGGAGCTATACAACATAAAGAGTTTATTATTTACAATTTCATAACTTTAGACTCGATTTCAACCGCGACAATGATCACTAAATATTGTAGGATCGCATATGCTTCCAATATGTTCATTTGAACCAGATTCATGACCATATACCAAAACTTTGTATTAGCCTACCGTTAAATTAAGTCACGGCAAATCATCCCAGGCGCATGATCAGTATGCGGATGTAACAGCTACTTCAAAACGTGATGGTGGACATGGAACTACACCAATTCCATCTATAACTATGAATAATAGGCCAACAATGACCATGAACAGTTATACCGGATGCTATAACTGCGGTGAAACGAATTACAAACAGAGAAATTGTAGATATGAAACTAAATTAAAGTGCAATTCCTGTTTTCAATATGGATTTCAAGCTAACTGCCCACATCCGTCTTTGAGCACCCCCCCCCCCCCCCCAGTACACTCATCCGGTGGCATTCCTCATCCTTATACAGTGCGTCCCAGAAAAAGAAAAAAACGAGAATTATCGATGTTTTATTTAATCACAATTATAATTAATAAATGACATATATCTGTAAAGCTTAGATCCTTCTCTTTCATTTGATGCAACTCATATGATGCATATTTCACGCATGAGGGATTAAAAGCAATTTGAAGAGAGGAAACCAAAAAGTCATTTGGCGGACGGTATCTGAATTTCAAAGGGAAAATCACATTTCTAGAAGGTTCATTTTCTGCCCTTTCATATGAAATCTCAATCAGGAGAAATGAGCCAGAAATAACAAAGTTCTGTTTGTTTAAAGTAATGCTTGCATACTGCATCTTCTTCAACATGTATTGACCTGATTCTTACTACAAAAAAAAATCATGATTTGCATGTTAATAGTGGCGTTCTTCAGATCTTTTTAAGTGATCATTACATGATATATACGTGTGTAAATTGTTAAGTAAATAATTCTGGTTACAAAATAATTCTGGTCACAAAATGTCCCGTTTCAGAGCATAAACAAAATTTGAGTTTAAAGGTATAAAGACCAGTATTGGAAACGCCCCAATTTCAAAAAATGAAATGGAAGCTCTCATTACCAATCATGTGAAAGAATATGTTTTGACTAATACATGATGATAAAAAATTTGCTGGGAAACCGCCTTATAATTCATATATTGGGTAAATTTGTTTCTCTCATGGTCTGTGAGAGATATAGGATAGTCCCATATACATCTTTCTGTGTATAGTGCTTGCAACTTTACGAAGAATGGGCC